GCTCCATTAAACGTAATGGTGACTTGGGAAAAGAAACACCATAACTCTGAAAGTCCCCCCCTTCCTCCTTCTTCCCCCAGCTTTTTTTTGCTGAGCACAACATCACATGGTATGGAATATTCCTTTGGTCAGTTGGGGTCAGCTGTCTTGGCTGTGCCCCCCTCCCAGCTCCTTGTGCACCCCCAGCCCACTCGCTGGCAGGGCAGCCTGAGAAACGAAGGCTTTGACACTGTGCAAGCGCTGCTCAGCAATAGCTAACATATCCCTGCGTTATCAACAGTTTTCATCACAAACCCAAAACATAGCACCATACAAGCTGCTATGAAGAAAATTAACTCTATCCCAGCCAAAACCAGTTCAGTAAATAAAAAAAAAAAATTATTTAATTGACCAAAAAGTCAGCATGAATTTTCACTGTGTGAAAGACACAATAAGCTCAACAACTAAGAAAGGTACTTTATCTAGTTTTTATCAAGCTAACTTAATAGGAGGTGAATTCTTAATGTGTAGGGTTGGTAAAATGTGCACCCAGAATTACCTGTACATAAGCATCTGAAAATTACAAAAAGCTCTTCTGAAAATTGTTATCTGTTGAGTAGATCACACTGCTGTTGCAAAATGAAGGACCGCAGAGTGATACTGTCACGACAGCAGTCTTTCTCCTCTGTGAATGAAAAGGGGGGTTGTGCAAAGTGCCTCCAAAGGCTTCTAAAATACTGCCAAAGTGGCTAAATCATCCTTACAAGCTCTTTTCTCTGTTTTAAACGCATCGTTCTCAAGAATCTTTCAACTTGAAAGGAAATTAATTTCTAAGGTTAAGTCATCGAGCCATAACAAGAGAGATATGCTGACAATCACGTGCTCAAAGCATTTCAACGTCAGTTTATTCTACAGGATGAGACAAGTACCAGCAGCAGATAAACCATTCCTGATGCCTCGGAGCAAAATTTAAAGTTGAACTTTCCTCAGGAAGAATAAGGGTCTGTATTCTACTTGTTCATACTCATGTACAAAGTCCTACCACTTCTTGTACTTCCATGGTTCCTGGGAATGAGATCATAACCAATACTTAACATCTGGGACAGAGGAAAAATGTTGTAGGCATATGGTTACTCTTTCACTAGTACTAGAGACAGGGTCTTCTCATGAAGTGAAGAAAGAACCAGCTACTGTACTTTAGACTGTACGTTAACCTCATCTAACTTTTAGATGGTAAGGGTTAGGGAAGATGAATTCCAACCATCATGGCTGAGAACATATCATCTCATGCCAACAACCAAGCAAGGATCCATGGTCCATCTTATGACTTGCGATGTAAGAAGGGAACAGAGCTTGTGCCGCATGTGATGCTGATTCCAGGGTCCTTGGTTTACATCTTGTGCAGAGCTCTCTGTAAAATAGAAGATGTCTCCTTATCACTGAGTGAAAAATAAATTTTGTTTCACTGAATCCTTTCATCAGTGTTTTTCTAGTGACATCACAGGGGCTAATTTTAAAATGAAAGTTCTTATTAAAAATCTAACATCAAAAAAACCTTCTAGTCAAAATCCCAGATCCTCAGAGTCACTTCTCATTACAGTGTCAGACAAAATAGTCACTGGTTCAAAGTTCAGAAATTCAGTGTGACTGAAATTCACTCGGCAAGTCAAGACTTGTCTCCAGCTTTTTTCAGAGGTTTGAAAGATTTTATTCCAACAGATATTTTCCTCCATTGCCCTTTTATTTGAAGGTACCCAAACTAGCAAGGTTTTTAAAATTGTATTTTCAGCAGTAGGTGGCACTATAAAGTTTCTATCTTCATAATTATTCTAATACAAAATAATATAAAATGTTATGCAGATACATTAGAAAGAACTTCATCAAAATGTTAATAGTCCATTATCTGAAAATATGGCCAGATCCTTCCATTTTCCTATCATTTTTAAAAGAGCATGAAAATATCTTAGAATAAATTCTGATAATAAAATAAATGTTTTTCTAAATATTATGATTGACAAAAATTCTAATGCAAGAATAGGAATAATGAGACTGTCTAATATAAAAATAGGCAACTAAGAAAATGTAAAATTATATGTGTCATAAAAAGCTCTCTATACTCTTTGTTACCCTTCAGTACAGTACCACCGTGGGTTGTTCTTGAATATACTACTTCAGCTACTTCAAATTTCCTGGAAATTATATCTACCTTGTTTGCATATAAGCTGTAATATTGCAATAATGGGAATCCATACATATAGACTAGGCATGTAAGTTTTATAAGGTAAATGAATGTATACTAACAGGAATACAGCAACTTGAAAAGCATTTGGATTTTTCTGTGCTTGGCCAAAAGTTCATATTTACAAGTGGAGACCAAAGCATTACCTGTGGGCCCATATCCCTCTACGTATACCATATGGAGACGTTACTGTGTCCCAAATAAACTCCAGGATTAGAAAGATGCAACAGTAACTGAAAACATTTTCTTCAAAACTTTACTATACAAAAAACTATAAAGGGCAACTAACAAACAAGCCTGTGTTTCCAGGTATTTCAGGGTGTCTAATCAAATGAAAATAACAATATTGCAAAAGTATTGCTCGTACTTTGTTTCAGAAAGCTGCTGATGCCATACCCCTCATTCGTCAGTCGCATGCTGTGGGAATAGCGCAGTGAGATGCAGCATTTTCATTAGGCCGATTTTTGGATGGCTGCCTTCTCATCTGAAATGAAGTGCTGGTCTGCCTGAGCTCAAGGTGTGAAGATAAGGAAAGGAGAAAAGAAATTAAGCAAGGAACACAAATGAAATATATAGCCAGTGTTCTTTTATCTGGCCTGGACAGAAAGTGTCCTTGCCTTTTTTTTTCACCCCAGGCTCCAAGCAAGCTGCTTAGCTTTGCATACTATTTCGGCACTGTGATACAATCTATGCCAACGCCCAAGATTCACGTTTGCTTTTATTTTGCTTTCTATTAAATAAAGCATGCAGAAAAGACACCTTTATAGCTTGAGGGCAATTTTTCATGAACTGACATCGCATATTACTCATTTTGTACTAATGTGGCCTGCTTGCTGTTTCTTCTGTAATACTGAAAAAGTCCAAAGCTGGTACTTAATAAAAACATCATTTGCAAGGAGCTGGCAGCAGCTGTGCTTAAAGGATCTTTAACTTGTGACAGCCCACTTCTGTTTCTCCAGAGTCTCCAACAGAGTCCTTTCAGTTGGATTCAGTTGGGTTCACTTTCAGACCACAGAATAAAGTGGTACGACAAAAATAATACACAGGAATATACTTAAGATTTTGCTGCTGGTTCTCCATTGCAAATGATTTATTGTCACCGTCACCATGCATTCTCCCTCCACGGAATCGAAGCCCTAGCTTTGTGAGAGCTCCTTCAATGTACCCAGTTCATTCAGTGATGCAGCACATGTTCTGCTTAGACCTCCATAATATGTTTTGTGGCTCTATGGATGTGTTTTAACTAAACTTTCATTGTAAGGCAAGTGCTTGCACTATATCTAGTACAGTTATCAAACATGGATATAATAAATCTACTTACGATTACAAGTTGTTCTTCCTTCAGAGGGATGTATCAATTTCACATAATTACAGCAAGCAGTATCTATCTTTGGGTAGACACCCACCTGCAATGGGATGGTGCAAAGAATTTTTTTATTAGATTTATCCAGTTTATACACTCGTGCTATTTTTTAATTTATAAAGTCACACTCTTGTACCTTGAAGGGCAACTGTGAAAATGAGATCCTCACACTAGCCCTGTTTTACATCGTCAGGTTGCACGAGCACAGCTCAAGGGTTGTGAAAACCCAAAGCAGGCATAGTGCACCAGTCTGAGAGAGCCCACAGGAGCACTCCAGCTGCAACCCGCAGAAGCACCTGCAAAGGAACAGGTAGATCTTCTATTACGGCTAATAAGAGTGTCCTGATTCCACGCTATTTGGTTGTATCAGAGCACTTAAAGTAGCCTCAAAAATGGGTTCCGGGAGTCACCAAAGGATCATTTGAAAGGTATATAATGGCAGTGGCCATACCCTTTTCAAGGCTGTTATTTAGCGCACGGCATGGTTTAACTATTTGACTGCTTCTTGCATTTCCAAGTGGAATTCAGCTCGCTCTCTGACTAATGTCATTTACCGGATAGTGACAAGTGATTTCGGGTAAGACGCTCCAGTAATTTGGTAACCAGAACAGAGGGGTAGGCATCCAGGCCCGTGGCCCACCCGCTCCTACTTTTGGGTGTGCCGCGGCTCGCGCTTTCTGTAACGCCTGAGGAATACGGTCTGTTGGTGGATGCCTATTAAAGAGCTGGAGAAGTCAAAAGGCTGGCAAAACGTTATCAGGACCCGTGACATTACCGCTCTGTGCGGGACCTCGTCTGAAGGTAGACGTTCCCAAGAGCTCGTGCGTATCGAAGCCGCCCCCCGCCTCCTTCGCTCCGTTTTGGCTGGTTTGCAAGGCCGGTCACTCGTTTGGCGTTCCTCTGCTTGGCAGAGGGCAGCCGGTACGCAGGGCGCTCGGCGGGGCCGCTGCCGCGCCGCTCCGCCGCTCTGCTCCCCCGCATCACCCCCCCCTCCCCGCCCCGGGCTGCCCACCCGCGTTTTTGCCGTCGCTTCCATCTTTCCCGCACCAGTGCGGAACCCGCCGGCTGCACAGAGACGACAAGGGCGCTGCGAAGGCGAAACAGGCCGATACACACGCAGATGGGCAGCTGCGCCAAGGCACGAGAAAGAACGCACCGAGCCGCCCCCGGTTCCGGGGGGTCGCGCCGGCAACACCGACGCCTGCCCGCTGCGGCCGGGCCGAGGAGCCGCTGGCCGTTACCGGGGGCAAGGCGGGGGGGCGCGCCTCGCGGC